AAGATGCAGCGCTCGGTTAGCTGTTCCGACACATAGACACTGTGAGTCGACTGGAAATGTCCTATTTTTAGCTGTACCTCCAGCGGCCCCCACAGTGCTGAGCAGCGCCCCGTGACGTCGTTCAGTCTCTCTTTCGCTGGAGGCAAATCCTCCACTTCCAGGACGTCCCTGCGGATAATAGTCTGGTTCGCGCCAGAATCGACAATCACCGGACAGGGTTTGCCGTTTATTGCTCCGTCCACCTGAACACTGTCCATGACATTGAGACCTCTTACCCTGGGGGTATAAGGTGGAGCTGCAGCCGAATTCCTCGATTCACCAGCCGGATGAGCTCGTTTTGGCTTACGACAGTCACGTCGTAGATGCCCCATCTGATCGCAATTCCAGCAGGGGCCCGTCGCTGCAGATGCTCGACTGCCTCTGTCGTTGTTGGTTGGCCTTCTGGATGATGTGCGAGCTTGCTGGGCCTCCAGTTCTTCAATCCTCCGCAATATTTGCTCCATCACATTCTCCTGTAAAGGACGTTCAGCATTCTGAACGTGGGTTTTCCGGGCTGCAAATGCGGACCCAACAGATGCTGCCCGCCTGATGGACTCGTACTCCAGTGCGGATGCCAGTGCCTGCTGAATGTTTCCGGGCCGTCCCTGTCGTACTGCTACTTGCATGTCGACATCCTGCAACGCATCGATAAACTGGTCGCATATGATGGTAGCCCGGAAACCCTCCGGTGCTCTGGGATATGCACAATGCGCAAGTCGTTCCACGTCCTGCGCTAGCGTTGCCAGTGATTCGCCGGCACCTCGGATTCTAGAGCGGAGCTGGGCACGAAACAGCTGGTCTTGGTTCGCCGTTCCAAACCGCTGTTCTAATGCCAGTACTAGCGTTGTGTAGTTCCTCTGCGTTTCGGGCGAGAGGTGTCCCAGAAGTTCGAGGGCGGTGCCCTTCAAGCTGCCCGCCAAATACGCTGCCTTTTCAGCGTCTTCCCAGCCGTTGTTTGTCGCTATCAGCTCGAACTGGGCTCTGTATGCCGGCCAGGACACCGTACCGTCAAATTCTTGGGGCTTCATTTGATGTGTTCTCGACGTTGCTGCCTCCGACACCCTGTGTGGCACCACAGTTTCCGAAACCGTGTGTTGCGGAGCTGGTGCGCTCACTGCAGTCACTTCCGATGTGATGGGGCCGCTGGCGCCAGGAGGAGGTGCCGCAGACACATGCTCCTTCAGATCTGAAACTGCCTTGATAACCGACAGCATGTTGTTTTGCATCAACTCCATTTGAGCCCCAAACATATTTATTTGTTCTTGCAGCACCTTGGTGTTCTTGTCTATCCCACCGTCCTCTTCTTCCTCGCTTACCGGATTGTCGTGTCTAGCAGCCATGAGCTCAGCACGCTCCTGATTCCTACTCTCCCTTTTGTTCCTCCTTTCCTCCCTGTCATTCATTCTTTCCCCGAGATTAAATACACAAAGAGTCAGTGCCTATTAGCAAAGTCACAAATAAGATTTATGCAATGCAAGGCTTAGAACTGATTACAAAATATTTATCCCACTTCTGACACCAGTGTTACGTTTGACTGTGGTATATTGCACAGTTGAGATACGTACGTCCCGCCAGAACCCCTGGCGCAGACGATTTCAAGCCGGGAATATCGGAATGACACTGTTCGCGGGGGAAGGGGAGACGTCCCGCCAGAACCCCTGGCGCAGACGACCCTAACACTAACCCGAGGTACTTACGTGGCGAGAGCTATCCTCCAACTGACCGACCGTCCCGGTCACCGCCCTGGCGTGACCTCGTATGGGTCATACAAAAGTAAACCGAGCGCCTATTGGTGGAAGCCAAATGACGTCACAGGCCCAAGCAATGCAAATCCACATAACAATGACGTTAAAATTAGGGTATATACTTGTTCTGTCTCTTTATCTCAAAGCTGATGCTTGTAACATTATCTGATAATTTCTCTATTGAAGCTCATTGCAGGGTGAGAAAGGATTATACCTAATTACTTTATTATTTAAACCATTGTTGAGCTTGATTCATGGACCATCATTTCTTTTAATAATAATGGTATTAGTGCCAAATAAGTGCAGATGAAACAAGTTAAGAATAATTGAGAAAAGTTGTATTTTATGACATTATACGTATGTAATCATTTTAGAGGATTTCCAATGAAGGAGGAATTCCATAGTGATATCAGTTTCATGTTATGTTGACTGCCATCCCTATTAGTTAAGTTGGTGATGAAGTTATTGAGAAACACTGATCCAACTCTGGGAAAGTTGTGATCAGTGAAGCAAAACCACTAAATTTTGGGTAAGGTTCCAGCAGCCTGGTTGGCAAGGAATTTAACTCTGGCTTTGCTCACCAGCATTAGAGTTATGGATGCATTGATGGCCACCAATTTTACTGTTAATGGGATAAGGTTAGGGATTTAGAAATTATCCCTATGTCTTACTTCCTTGATTCTTCCATGATCTCTTATCTCCATGGCAACTGGGTCCAGTCAGCCAGACTGTTTAGAGTGGACGGTCGTGGATCAAATGGCTTCTGACTCAGTCCTTCTGCTTTGACAGCATACGGTTTGGGGTGTGTCTAGTGCGGCACTGCAATTCAATCTGAGTGCATGCTGTTAATAAGCTTACTGAGGTGGCTAATGTTTAGACTTCTGTAAATAAATGCTGCAGCCAGTTGCACGGAAAACCGTTCACGTTCACGCTCTCTCATGGTGCAAAATACTGAGCGCAGCCAATATGCCCCAATGAGTTGAAGTTGTTCATTTTCATTTCATTTTATTTTAGAGCTAGTTAACCCGCGCCCCAGTGGCGGTCTCAGCCAACTTCGCCCTAGTGGGGGAGGGGGGGGGGGGCATATGTTACCACCCACCTCTAACTCAAAAACTAAGAGGGCTAGAAAGACGCGGTAAAAAGCAGTCGATAGCTCTCAATGCGTACGTTTGAAAGTATTTCGGTCATTTTTCACCTTAGAGCAATATTGGGGTCACCAGAGGTCATCAAAGGTCAAAATTTGCCAATTGTCATTATATTTTTCAGAAAACATGCCGCTATCTCAGGAACTATGGTAGCTAGAAAAACGCATGGAACAGCAATCGATAGCTTTTGGACTCGTCTTTTGAAAATGTCATTATCAATATTGACCTCAGGTCAACGGTTTAGCCTCCAGAGGGCAAAAACTCCAAAAATAGCTGTTTTTACGAAAAGTGTTTTTCGACAATAACTTTCGACTACAAAAAGCCACGACATTTCTTTTGCCAGAATCGTGTTCCCCTCGCCGAGACGCGTCGAATGAACTATAATTTGACCTTGAAAGGTCAACTTGAAAATTTGACCTCAGGTCAAGGTCATGACCTAACCGGAAAAGGTCATGTTGCATATCAGTCGATGCGTCTCAACAAGACAAACACAATGAGACCATCCCTAGCGTTCTATCTCTTTCCAATCGCGAGTTATTGGCAAAAAACTGTTTGTAGCAGCCTCAAATGACCTCGGATGACCTTTCTAGAGGCTATCAGCAAAAATGACACCTTGGTCATCACGACTGGACTAAATCATTGTGATTCTGAAATATTTGGACTGTTCCTATGCGTACACACGGATCTAGAGGCATTTTCATTTTTCTCCATTGAATTGTAATGGAAAGGTCACGCCACTGACCTGACCTTAGGTCACGGATATAAAAAATCCGAGATATACAAATTGTAGGCGCCCATAACAGCATGCAATTCACCAAGTTTAAAACCTTTCTGACAAACACTGCAGGCTGGACATGATTGCAAACTTTTTTAGGCTTGGTCAGTTAACTTGACCTGGTGACCTGACCTGACATGACCTGGGGTCAAAAATTTCACACATTGTCCAAAATTGATGTACCAAAAGCTACCCCAAGCGGCGCGGCGCTACGCGCCGCGGTTTTTTATTTACACCCAAAAAACGCGACAGGGTGGTAACATATGCCCCCCCCCCCACTGGGGCGAAGGTTAAACTAGGGAACAGTTCGGCCGTCATGTCAATCTTTGTAATCGTCTATGCGTCCGGCCCTTTCGCTAGATGGGGAGAAGTGCGCGAGTCGGGCTGCTCAGAATCCGGGAGCCCACAGCGGCCCGTGGGTTACAGTCGGGGACTGAGGCCCATAAACAATAATAAATAGAGGCTATCTGGCATCTGTGTCAGGATTCAATGAGATTTATTGTACCTTGGCTGTGCCTAGCAGTTAGCGTCATCAGAGCAGAGGAAGGTTTCTGAATTACATTTGGAAAAAAGAAGGGATAAAAAGTGATTTTTTTTTCAGTTCCTCACTCATCGTCATCATGTCAGTCCATCCCAATCCAATCTACTCCAAGTTCTAGGGAATCAGCGCTATACGGTGTTTTCCAGCTCTCTCTCTCACTGAGACACACTGACACCGCCTACGTGCAATAGTGTCGGCGGGGCTGGAGTCTCGTCGGTGGTCTCCGGTGTCGGTCGGTGCGGTCTGAACCCCCCCCCCCTCTCCCCCCACTACCACTACCACTACCACCATCCTGGCGTCGTGTCGCCACAGACGCCGGTGCGCCCCTCTGGTCCCGCTCGTAAGCCACGTGGTCGGGGAACTCTGATCGGCGTGTATGACCTAGGTTGTAATTTGTTTGTAGAATGGGAACATTTTGCCATTGTCATAGATAACATGAATCTATGTTATCATGATTCATGTTATCTATGCCATTGTCCATCTCAAGAGATGTAACTATTTTCCAATTAGGTATTTCATTGTTCCTACATTTGGCGCCTATTCTTTGTGGAAGTCGTTATAAGGCGCCTTGGATTTTCTGTCGGCAGTTGCTAACGTCCAATAAGTGGTTGTTGCTCGTCAGGACCCCGTCGATCCCAGCGTTAGCGCCCGATGCCCTGTACCTACAAGTGTACATTTATGTAACTCTGTGTATTTGTACTGTAAATGCTGCGGTCTACAGTCATCCGACCCTAACCCCACTCCTGCCTTGGCAGATCTCAAATACACGGAGCAGCACGAATGGGTGCGCTTGGACGGAGCCGTGGGCACGGTCGGCATCACGGCTAAAGCGGCGGTAAGTGGCCTCTCCCGACACTGGAGACCGTAGCCACTAGTCAGGACTGTCCAACCCAGGGACTAACTTACAGCACGGTGACTTACAGTAGCTGGGATTGTAAGTGTCACTGCGTCCCGGTCAGTGTGGTCAGTTGTGATTGTTCTAGATTAGCCGCAGGACGTCATAAAACTTGTTTATTTATGTTCACTGCTACTCACTACATTCGCCTCATCCCGTACTTCCCCAGCGTTCAATCAGTGTTTTGCCTCGGCACCCGCATCGCTGGATGGATGCCCATCTTGCAGCAGTCCTGTGTCCTAGTCCCTGTCCCGACCGACCCAGTGTGCTCGGCGCCGCGACCGAGCGGCAGGCACACAGGCTACGACAACTGTCAGTCGATCGACCCGGTCGTGCATTAATGATGGTAGCGATCAGGTGATTGTTCCCGGGATGGATGGATTGGTGCGTAGGGCGTGTGCTTTTGTTAGGCTGGTACAGAGGCTTGGCAACTGGGCGTTTTGCCAGGCGGGATGGGCAAGAATAATAGCGAAATGCCGTAGACTACTGTATTGCCGATATGAGCTGCCGATATAGACTAGTCTGTCATGCAACGGCATATGGTAGGAATGGCTTGGTCGTTATCAAATGCCGTGTGATGAAATGGGTCTGACCATTCACGGGCCAATCCGTTCAAGACTTTGAAACAAAACGGCATGTTGAGATATCAGAAGGCACTTTCGAAATCGATCCACATTTCGAGCAATAGCCATTCAACATCGAGCTGAATTAATGTACCCTTTGCTGTCCTTACTCCATCTAGTCGGTACGCATTAGGCCGTCCTCATTCGCTCCGCCTGTCCGTCTGTCCATCGGCGTCCCCGCCCGTCACTTGGGCGCGTTTGCTTACAGTACATGTGGCCGTTGTTGGCTGTTGGAGGCGGCTGGGTGCCTGGCCAGCGTCACCCAGCCCTCGCCGGTCGGTTAGGACCATCTTTGTGTGTTTAAGTGTGCGTCTAGCCCACTCCACGCCGCCTCATTGGTGCGTTGGCATGGTGTCCGATGAGACACGCCTCCAACTCCAACCCCTCCCCGACCCTCGTCGGCCCGATATTTGGGTTAATATTTGGGTTAATAACGGTCTTTGGGACCGGGTTGTAGGGTATGAAATGATAGTGTCCGGATAAACAGTGATCGTGTACATGCGCTCTTCTCAATGGATGTTGAGTCAGCTTAAGTTTTGCATAAAAGAAAATCTGTATTGGATATCTTGTTTCGTAATTCGAGATACGCGTTCGTTTGGCCATTATATGCATAGTCGCATTGTTGATACGAGGTATTCTATGTTTGTCATTGTATATATGTCAGTGAAATGCGGAGGCTTTCATCTTCCCCATCCTAAAAAAAGTGTACGTGGCGTTGCACTGTGCCCTAGGCCCCTAACTAGTGAGCGCTGCACTGTTGATTATACCCGACCCCCGGTCGGCAGGAGTCTACCGTACGAGTATATTTTCTGGACTGGTCGGTGATCACTGTCGTGTGCGACTGAGGATTCCTTGCTGACTATACTCTTTCCCCATCGACAGGAGTCCATGGGAGATCTGTACGCGTGGCTGGTCTGTCCTGTGACAGTCTGAGGGCTACCTCTCTGACCGTGCCCTATCCCCCATTGACAGGAGTCCATGGGCGATCTGGTGTACGTGGAGATTGCTGAGCCCGGACTAGAAGTGGATCAAGGAGGTGAGCACTATAGTTATATCCGAGGAGGGAAGGTCAAAGAGTTTTAACATCTGTGCCTAATTATTTGTGGACTCGGAAGCAAGTGTTCTGCGTCGGCTATAAAGAAGAAAACTGCGCGGACCCCTCACAGGACGTGCACAACTAGTCACTTTTCATGCCTAACGTTAACACTATTTCAGCTGTAACTGTCACTGTAACGTCCAGAGGATGCCTCTGGGAAGCCCCTAGAACACTGATCTTCTATCTTGGCGTCTCCCCATTGCTAATGCACCCACCCTCTGTTTATTTTTATTGAGCGATGGTTAATCTAGACTTAATCGCCGCGCTTTGTTTAGTTAGTGTTGCCACCATGGGATCCTGTAAGTCCCACCATGAGTAAGATAGCCACTCTGACCTCCCTCTCTCTTTCGCTCCCCTCTCTCTCCCCAGATGAGTGCGGATCAGTGGAGAGTGTCAAGGCAGTGAGCGACATCTACGCCCCCGTCTCTGGCAAAATCACTGATCGCAATACGGACCTCTCTGACACACCAGAGCTGGTCAACCAGGACCCGTACGGCGAACAAGGTCAGCTCGCAGATGACGTCATCAGTGTGACGTCACGACGTGTGCTGCCCGTGCCCACAGTGTAGGTCGTGCCACGTTTGTTTAGAGAAGTGACTGACATGAGCGACCTACTTTTGCTTGTGACGGCTGGAGATTTGATGTTTCGTTAACATGGAATCTACATACCGATCGGGTTCAGCCATGTGAAAACATGGCTGAAAACTTATTTCCCATTGAAAATGAAATAAGTTTCATTTTAAAGGTAGTGTGCCAGCTTTCTTGGACCGTATGGAGTTAATGGCCCAGATAAGGAGAACCGGATTTTTAGAACTTATCCATACCTTCAAAACTCATGGAAACGTCTTAAATTCTTCAAATTTTGAGTACCCCAGTGCGAAATTCGCCCCGACGGGTTGTCGGTCGTACCCCAACCACATTTCACACCACTATGAACAATAAATGCACACACTGAAATCGCTATTACCGATATGCTCATCCAATCAAGTTTCGATAAACCCGTTCATCATCATCTCCTGCGGTTTCGAACACGCCTGTTAGGTGGCTTCTGATGCTCGTCGAGGTCGGAATTTCCAAATACGCGTGGTGCGTCGGGCAGCGCGCTCTGACTTCGGCCAAGAAAAATGCGTCAGCTGATCATTGTCATTTCTGCCACTTGCGTGTGGTGAAATGGGGTCATAACTTATAAGACGGCTTTTTCATATCAATTATTTTACATAAAATCATATTTCAAACCATAAATAATGTTCGACAGCCAAATAAAAGAAACAATACCAATACGGGCTTACAGTTTAAGGCTCGACATTGTGTTGTCTACGATTAGACAGCTGATAACTCATTCCCGTACAGTAGGTCTATTAAAAAAGTCCCCAGCACCAGTGGGCGCTGCATTCGCTTAGCCGAACCCCCGTCTGCCTGTCCCATATCGCGCCGGGCTCAGGTCAGGTAGGGTCGGCGGGACCGCTCGGTCCGGCCCGCGGGCGGTGGACGGGCGGCCGGTAACGCTTTCCGCCAGCCAGCTGTAGAATCCAACAAGCGGGACGGCCACCGCTCAGCGCAGCGAAACCGGTGTTAAAGAATGGCAGTTAGATGTTCATGGTCACAATGATTATGAGATAGTCATTGTTAGCCCGTGCCCCACAGGAATGCCTAGACTCTCACGCCCTCTTGGAGGGGAAATGGGGATTGAGCATCATTCTTATAACTCAGCTTTGGGCATTTAAGTGGTATTCGAAGTAGCGTCAAAAGCAGCAAAAAGAAGAAAAAATACTTCAGCCAATTTTGGATCGGGTCAAAGCCAGAGGTCATGTCACTAGAGGTCATCGATGGTAAAATCTTGCTTAGACGGGGTGCGTTCCGCGCATCGGTGCATTGGTTTTCCAATTTCCATGGAAACATCAACAGACTCGGAACCTCGCAACGCTAGCGTGGAGCCGAATTCATATCAACCGCCGCAACAATGCAGCAGCGCAGCGCAGCGTGCTGCAGCGCGGGGCCGTGGAACACCGCCCAGGGCTATCCATGTGTCAAGGCAATCCAACCCACGTGATGGGCTCGGCCCCAGCGGAGCATGAGGTCCAGGACTCCCGCCCAGTCCCCCTGTCTCTCCCTAATTCCTATCATCCTTCCCACTCTGAAATCGACCGAAAGAGCCTAACCTAACACAACAATCAGCTCGTTGACCGCTATGTCTGAATAATATTGTCAGATTTAATTAAGGTCAACTGCTTAGCATGTAAATAACAACAACTGCCACCATCGGTATTATGAGAAAACCAATTGCTTTTCCACAAACACTTAAAAGTTTTTAGCTTAAAATTTGCATGAAATTAATTTTACCAGCCTCGTGTTCCTCTTATCAAAACGCTTCGAATGAATCAAAAGTTGATCTTTAAAGGTCATTTGATAAATTTGGCCTATGTTCAAAGACATGACCTGACCAGAAATGGTCATAATGCATAGCAGGATATTAGATCCGTATCGTGGAACTTTATAAACTCTTCAGATGATTTCATAACTTAAGCATGTCTATCAAAAATAATTATTACATGGCTCATATGTAAGCTGGGTGTGTGTGAACATGCTTACGAGTATGTTGAACGCAACTGATAATGTTCTGTTGGCCACAATTTCTATATTTACTGTATCCTCCCGGATTTCATATTTTTGTTAATGACACCTTGACGATGTCGAGAAAAAACGCTTAGGAGATTTAACAGCCTGAGTATATATATATGAGTATGAGTATTCAGTATAAGGAAGGTTCAAGGGTGCTAGATTCCTTCCGTCCTCGCTAACCTCAGGAAAAACCAATCCGCATCGCCCCTAGTCTTCATGCTTCCCTCTCTGGACTGGAGGTCACCCCACCAGCCAACCTGTAGTTCATGTCGGATCCATTCCAGGACACATAATCCTCTTCGGGTGACCGTTTGGGAGACGGCTGGACCGTCCCGACAGGGCAATCGTCCCACGGGAACAGTCTCGCTTCCGCAGATCACTGTCGCTGGCTCGCACAACCCAATTACTACACCAGAGCATAGTTATGTCATAGCTCTGCAAGGGCCTTTTCAGACCGAAAAAGATGGCCCCCAACAAAACAAACAATTTTCTCATTCAGTATTGTATCTCATCAAGTACCACATGTTTTCAGAGTGTTTATTATGCGTTCCGTCCAAAAAAAGCGCAGTTCAATTTTTTCCCATTGACTTGAGCGATCTCAAAATTGACCCGGGCTTTCTGTCAACAATGTCAAACTTGCAAAGTAAACGTTTCAAATACATATACTGTTGCCCATGAAAATCGCTGAAAGTTCTGAAGCGATCGGATAGTCGGTGTATTTAGATTTGATGAGCACAGGAACTTTCCTTGAGGTAAGGTCACTTGACGTGACTGTTATGACCTTGAATTGAAAGACTTGGGCGGGAAAAAATGGGTCGTTTGAAATCTTAAAATGCTAGATTTTAGCAATAATTGCAAACACTACCCCGGCCAAATAGTGAGTGAGAAGGGAGCGATTCCCCGACCCCATGTTTAGCTCCTATAATTGAGCTAGCTGCTAGAGCCTCGCGGAAAAAACGAGCGCTTGCGTCGTTACGTGACGCAGCGACTGGTACCCCATTTTAAAATATCTGTGACCTCTTAGGGCAGGTCAAGGGCCCCAAGGCATTTGATCGGTTTTTGGTAAAAAACTAAACGCATTATCGTCATTTCGATACAATCGTGTTTTCTGTTCTCAGACGCTTCGATTTATATGTTTCTTTTTTGTTTAGGTGAAGCAATTTAGGATGTTTACCTCAGGTCAATGTCATGTTAGAGCAACGCAGGTCACGAAGCTGTTGAAAGGAGGACATGTTGCATAACGTTTGATTCGGCAAGTCTTGCAAAGTCCATTGATGGCTGTCCCGACTGGCTAGCTCATTTTGATCGGGAGTTATTGACGAAGCACTCGTATGACCCTAGTGACGTCATAAATGACGCCACGCAAGGTGAACAATGCAAAAGTGAAGCATTAGACCTTGCCAAGAATGTATGACGTCACGATTTCATGTGCTTGAGGTATAGTTTCAGATCATTTCCGACGCCAAATTAACAGTTTCCATAATTCCCCATTATGCTTATATGACACTAAGTGCATTGCGGATGCATCATTTTATAACCGACAACCGTGCAGAGGTTTACTTAAGACGTCATAGTTAAGTGACCTGACCTGAAAACGTGGTTGATGTCAAGTGATCCGGCTTGAATGAAATGTAAGGCATGTGAAATGTCAGCCTTCTATCATCATTGTGCTTTGAGCTACCGCAAAAAAAAAAATACATGGTGGCTGCATCCACCCCTTCTTCTCGGCCGGCGAGGGTTAAACCTCGCTTCGAATTATTGCAGATAATGATGCGACAGAAAACAAAGCATTTATCTGTGTCTAGAACGGCCACTGACTTGTTGGACAAGATTCCCGATCTTAATTCGCTAGATGGGAATAAAATAATCGGTATGTGATACATATAGTTATACCCCTCGATTTGCCCTCGCGCTAAGTCTATTCTAATCATCACTGTCGCATTTTTTATCCGAGATGATGTCGCCGCAAAACGGGTTGTTTTGTTTGCTTGCTTGCGTTGAATGGTCATTACGGATTATTGAAGGATTATGATAAAATAGGAATGGGGCAAGGGAGGATATGCACTGCAGGTGTTTAATTTAGATCACAAAGGCATCATTTCCGGCATCGTGCAGTCATTATCTTCCCCTCCTCTGCACTGCGGCATCTCTGCGCCCCACACACGGCGTCCTTACTCCACGGCCGGCCGCCGCCAACTGACCCACTCGCCGGGCGCCGCGACCTGGCCCGTGTCGCTGCCGCGGCCTGCGCAATAAAGTCGGGGCTGGAATCCGGGGGTTCGGCCGGCCGGCCGCCTCTGGAACGGGGGACTTTTTTAGTAGACCTACTGTACGTCGTATGGTCGTAACACTATAATGACCTTTGCTTATTGTCACAAGTGCGCCGCATTCGCGATTGTTGCCCGACGCCTGTTTGCAGGTGAGCCCACTACAGTTGTTATACATATCTAAAAACCGAAAAACTTTTAGGCGAAAAAGGCACTATTCCAGGCCCATTTTTGATTTTTTTGCGATATTATGTAAAAACAGAAGCTTCTTATCCTAGGAAAAATAAAATGGGAAATCTTTCAAAGGTGGCACACTACCTTTAAGTAATCCCAGTAGGTGAATTGATTGCATAGTTCACAACTAAGACCCGAACTAAAACAGCAGCTTTTTAGTGCAACGTCTGGATAAAAAGATGGGTTTTGAGTTTAATTCAGAAAGTTTCCTTTTTGACCTTTCATTATAGAACTTTTTAAGTCGGGAACAACGACATATAAATATTTTCACCCTCTGTAATTTTAGCACAAGTCTGATAAAACTTGCCGATCCGATGCCGTATAAAACTTGCCGAAAAGCATGCGGATGTGTCATGCAGATTGTCGATCCCACCATAAAATCTCTGACTATTCCGGTGAATACGGGTGAGCACGGGCATCTATTGAGTTTCCTCTAGTAATAAAGGTGTATTGAGGGAGTGGCCCGACCCGGCGGTCGGCACTGTTTACAACGCTTTTGTGGAACTCGCATCTCCGCAGATACGTTTAACAAACTATTTTCTATGTCGGGCGACTCCATCCCTTTTACCCCTACACTGACTATGCTCGATGCATCTGAGTACTTCCATGGTACGTGCCAGTTGTTCTGTCAAGGGTATTCAATGTCCAAATTTTTACATGAATGCTGCAATGCATAATCAAATGAAATTCAGGCATTTGAATGTCACGTGAATTTGACATTTCAAAAAATCTTAAAACCAAATGTCAATGAACTCTCCGGGAACGCGCAGCTCCTTGTTTTCCCATTGGTTTTCCCGTCGTCTGAAATTCATGGACCTTTTCACTGATGACTGAATAGATTTCACCTGATAGATTTCAAATTAGGAACCGGATAGATTGGTTACCATTTAAGCAGCTATTTGGGTCTAGCATTGTGCTGCTCACATGCAAGATCCATTTCGCACCCCAGGATGTTGTTGGATTATATTTTGTCGGAGATCTGCGGGCATGCCTCTCTTTAGTCCCATTCTGTTTTTGTTGCATACCAATGGAAAAGAGCGATGTCGAATCAATTAGTTTACTATAGATTAGCGCTGAACGTTTGGTGACTATGTAATTATGCGGAAGGGATTACTTTTTGTTGGATTAGGCCCTTACGGTCTGACAAGACCATTTCAGATCCGGAAGGATGATAGGAATTAGGGGGAGACCTTGGTCTGGGCAGGCACCCTAGTGAGTCACCGGGGCTGAGCCCGTCCTAAAGGACAGGCCGACCAGCCCCCCCCCCCCCCAAGTACTCGCTGCACCCGGCTACGGGTGTGCTCCCCTGGGAGCAGCGGTGCCGCTCCAAGGGAGCAGCCCGCATGAGATAAATTTGCCTGTCCAGCCCGGACCAAGGGTTGCAGCGTGGAGGAGAAGGATTTGAAAGTCCTGAGGATGGAAATGACGGACGGGTGAAAAGGGTTTAACGTCCTCTCACCACTTCTTGTGGATGGAGTGTGACATAGCGTTGAGTGTCTTCTCGTCCGATTGTATGCGACGTGAATCTCATGTTTTGGAACAATTGGAGATGTAAAAGGTATTGGAAATAAGTGCGCAAAGTTGAGCTCATGCTTAAGTTTAAAGTATGTTTATTGTTTTAAGTATTAAGGACGTGGTATAAATCCTTCTGTCTCGCTAACAACCGGTCCGTCTCCCGCGCCACCTGCCGAGTAGTTTTGCTAACTACAGGCTCTCATAGTGGGCGCCGTAGGCTGACTGGTGGCAAAGAACGGTTGTAGAATCCAGATCAAAGGACTGACTCGTCGCTGGGCAGTACTCGCTGGGCAGTACTGCTCTACGACCATTGTATACTGACATTTGAAAGTTCCAAGTTTTGCTAACAAGGCAGCCTTTGAACCAGTGTCTGGAACTAGTGTGTCGGTTCGTACCTCACCGTCTTCCTGTTCGGTTCGCAGGCTGGCTGTTCAAGATCGAGCTCTCCAAGCCGGAGGAGCTGGACGCGCTGATGACGGAGGAGCAGTACACGGCCTTCATCACAGAGGAGTGAGTGGCCGCCGCGGACGTCTAGTGGTGCTACTGAGCGTGAGATGGAGGGACGCTCAGCCCGATACAGCGCGTCAGCACGGCGGGGCCCGCGTCCCGCGCGCTGTGACCCGGTGCCAGTGATGTGGGGGCTTTTCGATAGCTGTGTTCAGGGACGGCAGTCCTCAGAGTAAGTGAGAACTTGCGCTGAGGCACTCACGAAGCTGCATGTGCAATACGATGGTTATTTGAGTACGCATTTTTATCGTGCGCTGAATGACAATACATTGAACACATTTATGCTTTCCTAAAAGGAGCGTGCAAGTGTTCACAACCTAAATTCCTTCCTGTTTATTGCATTGCGTTAAGTATCGCTTGCATACGCTTGCATTACACGACAGAAACTTCGTTTGCCCTTATCGCCTTTTTCACGATCCCGCTTCATACATAGCACAACAATCACGAACGTCGAACAATCGACACACAACATATCACTAAGAGCTTATCTCCACATGGTCCACTAATGCAACTCTTTTGGCACGTGAATGTACCAGTAAAGCCAGACGAACATCATGTATCCGCCGAGGTAGATCCACTGTGACCACTCCTGGTAGAGGACCAGCGCGCTGAGGAACTTCTGGTACGTCTCGCTGGTGTAGATGCTGATGTCCTCCAGCATGGAGGGCGGCTGCGGCGCCTGGCTGGCGCGCTGCTGGCGGAGCGCCGCGCTGGCCGACGGCGAGGCGCTGAGGCGCCGCATCTCGTGCACAGCCGAGCGCACCATGTTGCTGGAGATCTCCGGCTCGACGTGGCGCATCTCTCTGCCGAGCCAGTTGTCCGTGTTGGTGACCAGATGCAGCACCTCGGTGGTGTCCGGCTGCTCGGGCTGCTGGCGCAGGTTGAAGGCCAGGTACAGCAGGCGGATGTCGATGATACTGTCAATGGTGCAGAGGAACTGGAACACCATCGAGAAGACGACCCAGATGTCGAACGACTTCAGGTGGCCGCCCTGCGGACTGTAACGCATGTAGACGGACAACATACTGATCAGCGACAGGTTGGTGGTGCAGTTGATGATGCAGCGGCCCTGCGACACCTCTTTAGGCAGGAAGAAGGCCAGCCACGCGATCATGAAGTGTAGTATGCAGGGCACGAAGACGAGGAGCGTGTAGCGCAGCCGCTGCCTGCTGATGATCAATGTCATGACCAGCCGCGGAAACGGAAAACCACTGTACATGACAAAAGCCGGGCTACCTGTCACCACAGAGATCTTGTAGCCTTCCTTCACGAATGATCTGGACAAACGGACGCCGTGCTCGCTCCAGAGAATCGCCAAGTCGTCGGCGAACATCCCGAAACTCTCTATTGTTATGTTGCACTGATGGGAGTCAAAAGGGAACTTCGAAAAGTGCATTGGGCACATCAAACTGAGAGTGAGTGTCAAGGTGCTCTCGACAACGTAATTGTCTCGAAGGACCAAATCTTCTGCTGTCAGGCCGACTTTTGCGACGTGTATTCCCATCATCCCTTTCATGTAGAAATCAGGCGTCCACAGGTCGTTCCGGTATTTCACTGACGGGGTAAGATGTATGAAACTTTTCCGAGTGGAGTTGTCGACACAGTCTGGATTCATGTGTGCTGGGAGTATTATTCTCCTGTCTTCCCACTGTTCTTGATATGTCATCATCATTTGGATTGAACCTTTAATACCGTCAATGTCAACCAAATCTATCAATGTAATGGTGATTTTCACTGGTATGGCGCAGGGTCTCGGGGCCGGCATGTCTGGATTTGGTCGTATCATTTCTTGACACTTCTTGATGGCTTCCATATCCGGTATATCGTTGGCCACATAAGATTCTTCAACTATTTCCATTCGATCGAGATCACAAATGGACAAAGAATGATCGTGCAATGTATCCGTGTCATTGTGAGCCGTTGCATGCGTTGTGTTTGTGTCGTTATGAGCCAACGTTAGACTGAACGCTGCATACAAACATGCACAATGAAGGTAGTACCGCATTTGATATTTCCATGAGTTAAATGAGAAACTCATGCTTTTACGTTGTTTGATCTACCTTCGCTGATTACTTTCAGGTCACATGTTGAACGTGCGAAAGCAGTCCAAAATATTGATTGCATTTCATGAATGACACATGTTTGGCGATTGTGGGGTCATTTTCGTACTGACTATTTGAAGGCTCAGTTGCAGCAGATCGCTGCGACGCCCTCACTGATGTCTTGCAAACTCGCTTGATAGCTTCTTCTATAGCCAAAACACTGCCGGGAATGTAAATTGGTCTGAAAAAAACGAGATGGACGGCAAAGCTTTTACCTCTCTCAAGTAAGTGACGGACGTCTTTTCGAATGTTTTGCTATGTCCTCTAAGTCTAAGCCACTAATTAGCTTAGAGATACACGATACTTCACTACTGTCTGGATACAAACCAAACTGGAACAAAATTGTATACAAATTTGACGCATCATTTTTCACTTCATCGAAATAATGCGAAGCGTGCTCATCATTTTGTACGTCCGCCGCGTGCTTATTTTATTTTTGTCGCGCGTTACAACGAAACACATTTATGCGACATTTGTACATTGCGCATACCTATACGGTCTTGGTTTAAATGTTATCTTCGTGTAGGTACATTGTACATATAGGTACGCATAGTTTGTGAATTTTGTCGAATCAGCAAATGCTTGCATCAACCTTTTATCCCGAAAAGCTAAGGCTCATACAGATAAACAAACACGGGAAGGTCACCGACCTCTAGGTATAAGGTCTTATTCATGTTATAGGTAACCTTTCGACATGTGAATCATTTTGACCGCTGAAACTATTATAAACGGGGTTGCGAAGGCGAAGTCGGAGTCAGAGTCGGAGTCGGTCGGAGTCGACTGTTGTGACCGGAGTCGGAGTTGGTTTTTGAAAGCTGGAGTCGGAGTCGGAGTCTCCGAAAATCCCAGAGGTCGAAAAAACAGTAATACTTTCTCCAACCGACCTAAAATTTGCTCCACAAGAAAAATGATTTGTTGCACAGCCTAAAGCACGGGTCAACAACTTGAATCCCTCTCGCGTTTCCATGGACACTGAGCACCAATACAGTTAGCGTCAGACAGCTTCAATGCGCTGAAACAAAGGCGTGCAAGAGTTCATGACGTGCCCGTGCTTCTAAGTTCTTGCTGTTCGACACGTAGATGTCGCTGGATATCGCGGCCGGACCGCAGCGACATCTATTCCACGGACCGCACGCTCTAAAAAACCGCCACCTTCTACAACTGCTGTAAGGGCGAAATTCCGTTCGCGATAACGGGAAAAGCAGCCTTTTTGACACCGACTTGCTTCAGAAAGATGGAAGCAACTGGGAGCAAGTCAGCCAGGCCGTGGGTAGGTTAGAAGGTAGGGGAGAGTGGGGAAAGATGCCCAGGGTTTTGCTATGTCATATATTATTCGGAAATGACGATCGGAAAGCAAAAACTTGGAGTTTCAAAGGAAGCCGACATCATTTTTCTCCAAAAATATCACACTCTCGTGCCTGAAATATGATAACTTTTTTTGCTATTAAGCATTTCCCTGAAGAAGTGAAAGGGGGCATCTTACCCCACAGGGTGGGAAAGACGCCCCCTGGCGTTGGGGAAGATGCCCCCTGCACTATAAATGGCATAAATGGGCACGTGAATCGCCTGAACGAATCAGTAGTCCCTTCGAGACTGCAGTAGACACCAAACGTCATCGTAAGGTCCCTCAAAAGTAGTCGTAAGGGGCTTCAGAGGTCATCGTTAGGGCCATTATAGTCCAGCGCGGCCAAACAAGCCTCCGTGGTGGCGTTCGGAGACCACTGTGGGCCCTTATAGGTCTTCATGATGCTTGAGGGCCCTCGAGCCCATCGTGGGGACCTCAGATGCCAGCGCGGCCCGTGGAGCCAACGTGGGAGCCCTCAAAGGATGTCGTGAGGGGCCCTGGAGCCAATAATGGGGCCCACAGAGGCCGTCGTGAGGGCTCTCAGAGTCAGATGCCGCCCAAAAAGTCGCTGTGTGTGCGAGAGACCGGCATGGGGAGCACCCGACCGTACTGGACTCTCAATAGTCCCAGATCGGCTTTTGTCTCTCATCACAAGTATGTAATAAATGATTTGACGGGCTGCCTGAAGGACAGCCTACAGATTTAGGGGGGCGTCTTACCCCATCAGGACAGGGGGCATCTTACCCCAAGGTCCCGAAGCAACATTAAATCAGTACAATTTGTTAGCCATCAGACTTGTGACAGCTCAAGAAAAAAGTGAGCTCGCTCAGCTCAACTCCGTTTTATCCGCTCCCGCTCAGCTCCCGCTCAGTTTAACACGGCTCAGCTCAGCTCACGCTCCGCTCAAACCGGCTGTGCTCCGCTCACGCTCAGCTCAGCTCAGCTCAGTTTCCGCTCAGCTCAGCTCAGCTCAGTTTCCGCTCAGCTCAGCTCAGCTCAGTTTCCGCTCAGCTCAGCTCAGTTTCCGCTCAGCTCAGCTCAGTTTCCGCTCAGCTCAGCTCAGCTCAGTTCCCGTTCAGCTCAGCTCAGTTTCCGCTCAATTCAGCTTAGCTCAGTTTCCGCTCAGTTAAATTCACGCTTAGATCGCTCAGTCGTTCTTTTTAAATCGGACATGCTTAACCCTCGCCCGTATAGGGGGGGGGGGGGGTCGAACGGACCCCCCTCTGTTTTTCGCGAATAACTCGCGTAAAAAGCGGCCGATCGCGACGAAACTTTCAGTACCCTCGCGATAATCAATTTTACACCTATCTTGAAAATTTCATGACCCTGACCCTAATGACCTTTGACCTGTGACCTACTTTTCGAGACCATGTTTGGCCGGAATCGCGATTCGGCGTATGTCGGCTCGCATTAGCCGCGCGTTAGCAGTCTTTTTGTGGTTTCAAGTGTTCAAACATGGCATATGATGTTGCTCCCATGCATTAGGGTGGGTGTCAAGGTCACCGGAAGGTCAGGTCAGGTCATTGACCTTTGATGACCTCGGTTCACTTTTTCGAGTTTTACATGTTTCTAGGCTAGTTTTTGGAGCTGAATTCGAATTTAGCAACCATTTGAACATTTACGAAGCAGTTTTGGTGCCTTCGTAACATGTTACGAAGCTGTCAGAGGCTACTACGAATACCCGGCAAAATCCTTACTGGTTGACCTGACCTGACCCGACCTGGCCTCAATGCATAAAGACATCATCAGTGATAATAACTAACATGATATTCGTGATCAGCACCCCGAAAAACCCCATAGCAGCCACGTTTTACGACGTTCTAACAGGTCCCGATTTTCCCGACTTTTGGGTCATTGACCTGACCTGGAAGGTCAACCGATAACCTAGGACCTTAAAATTGGGTATCATCGGCTTCCTCTCGTCGCGGGCAGCACGCTCGTTTTTTCCGCGAAGCTCTAGCTCGATCAGGGACGAAACGGCAAGGGGGGGGGGTCCAACGGACCCCCGCCCCCTTATACGTTCGCGGCTGGAAAAACACCAATACGGGCGAGGGTTAAAAAACAGACCAACTCTTGGCGCATAAGTAAGTCTCCTCTAACAAGGAGCGAGGCAACTTACACAATGGGCAAAAGAGATAAGCTCATTAAGACCTTGAGACTTTGCGAGTCGTGCGTCTACTTGGACTCAGACTATAGTTACATGAAATGGACTGTTCTTGGCAGTGTTATCACATGTTATCAGAGTGTGCACCCGCGATGTTAGCATAACATATAAGTTCAAAATATACGAACGAAAAAAGTCTGGACGAAAAAGTTTACAGACGAAAAAAATGTACAGACGAAAAAATGCCAGACGAAGAAAAGTCGGACGAAAATCTGCTAGACGAAAAAAAAAAACGCCATGGAATCATCTCAACTAGGCGGTGTTTCACGGCCGAGAGCAGCACGCCCACGCCGCCATCCGCTCTTGGCACCCTGCCAGGAGCTGACGTTACATTTTGGGGTAGTGTTGGAACTTGGAGATAAGAGTTTGTTTATATCTCCATGGAAACCCCATTTGACACGTGTGATAGCAGCGTGCTGTTATCAGTGAAACCTTGAGTGAAACCAAACACCACCCTGATCTCAACCAAGGCAATGTCAACACAATTAGAATTCATAGTCGGCGTGTGAATAAGGGAGCTTTTCCCATATTATGGACATCAGAAGGTGAGAGTTCCAGTTAGCGCCTCTGCCCCACCCCACTTTCAATAGGATATGGTTGCTTAGCCCACATTCAACCAACGAAGAGGAACATTTGCTAATTCCTAATTGTAAATATTTTATGCAGAGGTAAGAACCCTTATCGATAAAATTAATTTAAATAACTGCTTAAATAACAAAGTGAAGAATGCTGAATTGTACATTGCGGAGCAGAGTGTCAAGGCGAAGCATCAAAGCCTGACAGTAGGTATTCATCTTGCAGTCAGACTTGAAACTTGAGACTGGCTGTATTAGCCTGTAAATTGGCCAAGACCCTGGTCTTCCAATTTCCATGCAACATGGATGAAATAAATTAAGCTTGATTAGTGATTAATATTGATTTCTTTAGAGTTTTGATATTTTTAAGTGCGATCACGAAGGCAGTGTAATTGCTCACTCCATAGCTAGCTCATAGCTGAAGCATCAAATCCTGAGTTAATTTCCAAGCATGAACTGAAAAGAATTAGAACTGGATCAGCTCAGCTCAGCTAAATCAGCTCAGCTCAATCAGCTCAGCCCAGCTCAGCTCAGCTCAGCTCAATCAGCTCAGCTCAGCTCAGCTCAATCAGCTCAGCTCAGCTCAATCAGCTCAGCTCAGCTCAATCAGCTCAGCTCAGCTCAGCTCAGCTCAGCTCAGCTCGCTCAGCTCAATCAGCTCAGCTCAGCTCGCTCAGCTCAGCTCAGCTCAAGCTCATTCAGCTCAGCTCAGCTCAAGCTCATTCAGCTCAGCTCAGACAGCAGCTCAGCTCAATGCATTACTGAGCCGGCTCAGCTCACAGCTCAACAATTTGGCAAAATGTTGAGCCGGCTCATGAGCTGAGCTGATTTTTGAGCCGGCTCAACTGAGCTGATCACAAGTCTGTTAGCCATAAAACTACACCCTGAAACAAACTATTCGGGGCACAGTACACGCATGTTAATGTATCACGACTATAGCAAGGGACTCAAAAATTATCTACCTTCTTTGATATTTACAATGTTTTGACACCAAAATATTTTTTGAAAGCAGCAAATAAAAAACATGCAATCACCAGCCAGCCGTTGCCCAACTGAGCTTCGCAAATTTTTGTGCAGGTAACAAGACAGGCTTCCGCTTTACGCTAAGAACATGAATTTCCAGGTTCGATTCTTTGTTTCGCCGCTAGAGGGGGTGGGGCGTCTTTCCCACCCTGGGCATCTTACCCCACTCTCCCCTACTCACAGTGGATCATTGGCTGAAGCTTGAAATTGCACATGGATGCAAGGAATGGCCATGCAGGTAAAATATTCTGTGTTTGATCATTGGTG